ATCTTAAAGTGATGCACATAAATGTGCATAAACACTCTCATTTCTGTAAAACAGTAAAGTAGCTAACCAAAAGTCAAGTCACATGTGATACAATGCTATATACAGATTGTTTTATAGCAGCTTCAGTATAATAAACGGGGTATATATATATATATATATATATATACACACATTTAAATTTTTTTATGCCATTTATTCCTGTGATGGCACAGCTGAATTCTGCATCATTACTCCAGTCTTCAGTGTCCCATGTTCCTTCATAAATCATTCTAATTTGTTGATTTGGTGCTCAAGAAACATTTCTTATTATCAATGTTGAAAACAGTCTACTTAATATTTTTGTGGAGACCATTATACTTTTTTCAGGATACTTTAACAAACTGAAAGTTCAAAAGAAAAAATGTTGTCTTAAAAAAAATATTACTGGCCTCTGAACAGTAGTGCAAATATAAATATTATTATTATATAGGCTAAAATTGTTTTGAATGCTGCACGTTAACGTGGCCCTAAAGACTGCCATGCTGCTCTCATTTATTAATAATCATGTGTTTATGGGTGGAGTAGGGGTTTTAAAGTGTTCCAGAGACTTTTCCATGTCAGTTGAGTTAAACCACATCACATTTTCCTTAACTCAATGAATCTAAGAGTATCATCTGTATGTGTTGGGTTTAATTTTCCAAGACAGCAGCAGCAACAACATTTATTCTTCAAATAAGCAAATGTTTCATCACCTTTATTTCATCACCAATGTCAGACATCCACCATGTCCTGCCTTAATCCTGGTATTGCGAATCCTTAATCCTCTTGCCATCATATAGCAGATGAAACAGCACTGTCACTGGTTCCTAACTATAACTAACTACATATAATTTTATCTTCACATAATTATTACACAGATTCATCTCTCTCAAACATGCTTGCAAGTGTATGCTGTGTATTCAGCAGTGTGAATATTAGTCAGTAAGCATGCTCTTGTTAGCGATGTGGCTAACACTTTTATGACACAGGGGGTCCTTTCATGTGACGTGCCCAGGAAAGTGTTTGAGTGGCTGGGGGGAAGAAAGCCAGGCTCTTCACACTGATGCCCTCTGTCTAAGCTTCTGGGCAGCCAGTCAACACCAGGGAGGCCTACTGGAGGTGCATTGCTCTGTGCAAGTGTTTTTAGGAGGTGGGCTACAGAGCCAAAGTGGCCGCCCAGGGCGATTGAGGCCTTGTGCCCATAAGCATGGCGCCAGAGGCAGGGTGGGCCGTAGGGAAGCTGCCAATCTGGAAGAGGTGATATCAGCAAGGAAATGATGGGAGACGACAATTGGGCCAAAGATTTTTGAGCATTCAAACATTAAATGTTTGAAAAAGGTGATTCTTATATAAAAAGGTGATTCTATATCACATACTTTTGCCTTTTTTATTTAGCTCTATCAGGCAAACTGTATAAATAAATGTTAACATGTTGACATGGTAAATGAAAAGTATATGCAATTATATTAAGAATAGAGCCATTACATATTAGATAACAAAAAATTATTTCATATAGACTACAGTTCAAAAGTAAATAATTTTTTAATAAATTATATTATTTTTTATTTATGTATATTAAGCAGCACAACTGTTTTCACCAAATCAGCATATTAAAATATATTTTTTAAGGATCAAGTGGCATTGAAGACTGGAAGCTGATTTTCACTGAAGCTGAACATTCAACTTTGCTATCACTAAAATAAATAACATTTTAGTTTTATTTCTAAATAAAATTTTACATAAATATATTTTATATTAAATATATTATGTTTTTTAATACATTTTAAAATATAATTCATTTGTAATTTATTATTAGCATCACCTTTTTCATCTTATCTCACCCATAAAATGCAACTCTGCTACAAAAATTGGTTGCATTTGCATGAAAAGAGAGCAAACATCTCAAGAATGCCGAGTTTAAGGTAATACCATTGAAACAGTCTGTTGTTTATTTGGCTTCAGTATGGAAAGATTTCCTTAAAGAGGAAGTGAAAATATGCACAGCCCCAGCCACGTCTTCAACACATTAAGAGCTAGAGGGCAGAGAAAAAGCAAAATAGAAAAGAAAAAACCCTTTGTAAGTCAAAGGCCTCCCATTCTTGTCTTGTGATGTCTGTCTTCATGCTTCTCTTGTAATACAAAGAAGCGGGTTGTTTGCCACAGCCCAAGATGAATGGCAGCAAGAGGACAACAGTCAATGACAACCCCTGTGCCAGCTGTTGAACATGGCATATAGTCTATAAATACACAATAATTTATGATGCATGTTTTCAGCAAAGCATCTTCTGACCAAAACCTCTATGGAGAATTTATGAGCGTATTTTTTATCACTTTGCAAGGCCACAGTAGGTTTTGGCATTGGTTTTAATGAAAGTTGTTGACATACGGCTAACGATATGGTCATACTAGACAGTAAGCATGCAAAATTATGACCAATTTTGGCAAAACGATACATTTCATGCTCAAGGGCTTCTGTGTTTATGAAGTAATGCATTACAAATAATTAGAAGAATTTAAAATGTTAACATATTTTATCTACTCCACTATCCTGCAACATTGTCAACACAATCATGCAGATTAGAAGTTTACTTTTGTAGTGAGCCAAGAGTTCAATCCCACATGGCAGACACATCTTAACATTCACAGAACAAAAGTAATTAAGTAGTATAAAAGGCTCAATTTCAACCATATTAAATAAATGTCATTGTTGCTTTCTTTGCCCTCCCTTTCCTCTTTTCTATCCCAAGACCTGGAAATCTGCGGCATTGACTCTCATCAGGTGTCCTTCCTGTATCAATCTCTGATCTTGAAGTCTGGTTAAGGGGGAGTGAGGAAAAAAAGAGAGGGAGAGAAGGATAGGAGAACAGCGATAACGCCAAGACAGGATGCTCTCTGTGCAATCCGATAGCCTCGCCAAAAACATCCTGACATCAGCCCCCTCCTCCTTTTCTCCGTTTCTTTCTTCCTTTCCTTTTATCTTCGCTTATGATTAGAAACTCAGTGTCTTTGAGCATTGAAAGTTGAAAATAGTGCAAAAAAGCTGCGTAGAAAAGGAAAATTCTGTCATTATAGACTCACTATATTTTTCGTGGATGAGAAAAAAAAAATAGAAAAATCTATATAATGGCAGTTAATAGTCACTGCGTGTGCCAAGCTCCCCCCTAAATAAAATACATTTGTGTGAGGAAAAGATTAAAATATAAGGCATTATCTTATTTTATTTTCTTCCCCTCAGCCATAACTCTCAAATCAAATATATTTTAGACATTAATGAGATCAAATATCACTTCTCAGAAGTTATCTGACTACTTTTATGGTATGTTTTCTGCTTTTTGTTATTTTTAGAGCTTGACATATATGAATCGTCATTGTATGGAAAGAGCTGCATGAAGTCCCTTGAAAAATGTGTGTTGAGCATAAAAAAAAATATTTGAATTCAGTGAATAATGACAAAAATGTCCTTTCTGGATGAACTATTCCTTTATGCAAACATAAACTCACCAATAAGACAGTTATTTTTCATAAACACAAACCTTTGAAATTCATACAGAAGCAAATTCAATATGATGCCTCGTTAACCTCAAAACTTGTTGGTTTTTCAAAATAAATAGAAACCGAGAACAGAGAAGTTTCTGGTTTGAGAAGTACCTTGACTCATTCTTTCAGCGTTTGGTATGAGAGCCCACATGCATGTGAGCCTCTGGTTTCCTCAAGGGGGAGAACTTACTCAACCCTCAAGTACTGAATGACTAATGTCACTGTGCCCCCTCCGTCTGCTCCGGCTGACACGCCCATTACTTTCCTCACCAGCGTTTTTCTCTCTTTCTCCTCCACTTCTCCTCGGGCCCTCACACTATCTTCAATAATTGATCAACCCACCCAAAGTCCAGACAGCAGCCATTAACTGCAGCAGCATGGCCTCACTCAGTCATATCAACTGTTAGCCAAGTCCTTTTCCCAAAATCACATCTTTTTTCTTTTTTTCTCCAGACCAGACTGAGGAACTACAAATGTCTGTTTCTATGACAAAGTGTCATCCTGTGAAAGGATGTGAGGACTCTGGTTGACTGTTCAGATACAGAAGACAAAGAGAAAAACCTCAAACTAGTCAAGGTTACTTTCTGTCAAACTGCTTTCCAGGTTTTCTACTTTTTTTTTTCTCCATAAGAGGACAAATGTAAATGTCAAACATAAAGAACATTTATTGATCTTGCAGTAGAACAAGCGTCTATGTAACTGGCACCAATACGATCAATATAACTACAGTATCTGTTATGCATAATATCTGCCTGCTTTTATGTGTTCCTGACTTGATTCTGTTTCACGGCCAAAGAAATGAAGATACAAATGTTTTTCTAATTGTTCAAATTTGAATGCATTAACAGATTTTAAGATTTTAATGCCTAAACTAGGCAAAGCTGGTTTGCTGTAGTTCTTATCTTGTCTGGTTTTGGGCACTTTTCTGCTGGTTAGCAAGCTTAGGAAGATTAAGAGACCTGCAAAACCAGCTTAAAACAGCTAAAACCTGGTTTAAGCAGTTATTTTCTGAGCAGAGATGATTAATAAAAAGATTCTTTAATTGAATTACATTTTATATTATTATGAACGCAACTAAAGCTACAAATGATGAACAGGATCTCAGACATCTGAGAGCCAAGTTGAAGAGGAAAACTACTAGCTAAGGCAGGAAGGCCCCTCGAGGGCCATCTTCTACCTCTTTGTTGACTCCACCTAAAGCCCTGAAGCATGTGGCATCATTCCAACATTGCCATCTCTGGGTGTTTGTGTTCTCCACCCACTCTGCCCCTGCTGAAGTAATATTCCACAGCCATAAGCGAGAGGTGGCGGTATGTGAGGACACCAACAATTAGCATGCGCACACCACCTACTTGGTCTATTTTAGTTTGAAATAACCCATCAAACTTCTGTGAAGGAAGCTGTCTAGAGGTGGTTTTTGGCTCCTTCTGGTCAGCGTGACTCACCTGTCTGTTGCGCTCATCCATAATCCGTGTGATCTGAATCTTTTTCCTCCCCATTGTCCCCGTCTTTTTGTCTCTCTCTTTCTCCAATGAACTTTATACTTTTGTCCCTGTTTTTGCTTGCTTTTTCTTCAAACCAGGCTTTCTTCTCTTGACTTCCTCCACTCAATTCAAAGATTCCAGTAGCTGTACCTGCGAAAGGCAGAGAGAGAAAGGCATTAAGTCAGATGAAAAATGGCAAAACCGCAGCTTTAAAAAACAGGGAAAGGCAGAGTCTGAGCCACATGGGACAGCAAATAAAGACAAAAGAATCTGCAGACGATCTGAGGCAGCGCTGTTTTCTGCCATCAATATCATGCAAATCAGATTCTCGCGCTTCAGCTGCAACTATGAGGGTAGACAGCACTGTCATGCTCTCTCTACAGTCACAGAGAATTTGACAGTGTTTTGGAACTGCCACTAACTTAACAGCTCTAATCATTTGCAGCGTAACGTTTACTGTTGCCTGAACGACAAGCTGCGCCACTTTCCTAAACAACGCTGGTGTAACATTTCACAGAATTGTCACTAGCGCTCTGAACGAACACATTGGAATTTCCCTTTTAGCTGAAAATGTATGTGAACTCAACGAACTGGCTGAGCTACGGTGCACCAAAAGATAATACTTTACTATCCATAAGAACTGAAAAAGAACCTGAATGGAAACATAGGCCAACCTGATTTAGCCCTCATCAAACCCGCTCTAGAATATGATCCCGTTGTCACATCACGGCTTTGCTCGGCTCTCCATCTCTCAGGGAAAAAGGTGTGCAGGGCCTTTATCGGGCCTTCCTGCTGAGCTCTTTCTGCTTTTGAAAGGCTGCCCTCACCTGAGAAGCTAACCCAGGCTTTCTATAAAGTGCTCACAGCTCAGATCCACACAGTGTGAGAGCTTACGATCACAGAACACACGTGTGCATGTGCCGGTGTTTGTGTGCATGTGCGCACCTCTTTGGTGCTGTAAAGTAGGCCAATCCGATTCATCTCTGGGAGGAGTGGCAGAAGTGTTGTTGTGTTTTATTCTGACAGTAGAGGTGATAACATCCCTCGTTATGCAAATGAGTGTCCCATTATTTAAGCTCGCTGTAATGCAGTAAATCTGTCAGTGGTGTCACGTTAAAAGCCCTCCATTGCGTTCTCTTTATTCTCCGGCTCTTTTTCTTCTTTCTGAACCATATTTCACCTGCCAGAGCGAGCGAGGAACATTGATGTAGATACACCTAAAGCATACGCTGCGCTTCTGACGTCTATCCGTGCTGCCATGCTGCTCTCATTTATTAATAATCAAGTGTTTATGGGTGGAGTAGGGGTTTTAAAGTGTTCCAGAGACTTTTCCATGTCAGTTGAGTTAAACCACAAGCAAACTCTAATTTCATTGGCTCAGATTCATGTTCATTTCATACAGTGTGGCTAATTTCCCAAATTCCGCACAGATTTGCTGGATTCCTTTGGTGTTGTTGAAATAGAGTTGTTAAATATATAGTTTCTTTGCTACAAATGCTGATATTGAAATAATGTATTTTTTCCCCACTGTCTCTAATAATAACTGAGAATAAGATTACACTCTATTAGCATACAAACAACAGCGCTCTGTACTTCACCAAGAGCTGGACCGTTAGCAAGCACGTCTTAGTGTGTAAGTGGTGAAATCCGAAGTGGCTTGATGATTGTTTAGAGGACCACTGTAAAAGACATAAAACAAGGAGCAAAACAACTCAACTACAAGCTAGTGATAACGACTGGATGCCTGTGTAAATATTTACCCATCGTGCAGCCAGCAGACGTGGCATCACGGAGTGTGGTTTCACTGCTCACATTTGAAAGCTGATTAAGTAGTTAACTCAATCAAAACAGGGTCTGTGGCTGCAACTCAAAGAGTAGCTTCCTCATTGATAACGACAGGTCTGTAATTCCTGATTCAACCATGCCAGAGTCTCAACATGGACCTGCTGTACCTTACGTATTCATTTTAAATGCCTTTTAATGGGCTTCACCTGGACACTGACTCGCGTTTACAGTGGCACCAAAAACCGAAATGAATGAAAGTTTGAATGTTATTGTATTAGATAACAACATATTAAACCTGTAGATATGTAAAGGAAACCTGAACTGACATTTTTTATTTATTTATTTATGCAATAACCTCACATTACCTGTGGACATGTTACCGTAATGATATATTTATTTATTTGTTTATTTATTTGTTTGATATTTTATCTAAAGCATATAAAGATATCCTTTCAGGCACCAGGTAACCTTCCCCCACCCATAAGCACTGGGACAACCTGATTCAACCTCAGCACAATCTCTCACTCTCCGTTCACCCTGTACACCCTGGCCACCCCACCTCCCCCATCTCTCTCTTTCCTTCATCCGCTCCTTCACATGTACACATGCTCACACTCATCTGCTTTCAGATTACCACAGATGAGCACAATCCAATTTACACCAGTAAAGCCGAACTACAGCGCAGACAAGCTGTGGTTGATCAGCAGCCAGGGGCGCTTTAGATATAAAAACGGTCCGGTCACCGCCACACAAGCACTCATATGCAATGTCTGACTAAACGATTTCTTGATGCACAAGTGTGACTGACCCCTGCCGAAAACATGGGAACAAAGACTATGTGTGTGTTTGAGATCAAATGTGTGTGAGAGCGTTTTAGTCTTTAGTATGTGCAATTATGCCAGATAGAGAGAAAGAGTGAGGCGGAGAGGGACTACTAACAGGCTTTCTCTGCCATGATAAGCCAATTCACTAATCCATAGCCAAAGCATATGGGGAGGGTGAGAAAAAGAGAGAGAGAGAGAGAGAGAGAGAGAGAGAGAGACGAGGGCTAGAAAGATCCCTCCTTCCAAAGTGAACCTCAGGACAAGCTTGGCTTAGTGTGACAGACAGAAGAAAGCCTGGAAGAGAGGTCACCACCAAAGGGCTGAAGGGTCACGGAGGGATGCTACAGGACAGAGAGGGAAAGATAAGACAAGTTAACCCACAACCTTTCTCATTTGATATATTGGGCTCAAAGCAAGAGTACAAAGAGCAAATCAGAGCGAAAAGAGAAAACCAAAGGAGAACGAGAGAGATGTGAGCAGGTCTCTCTTGAGGAAAAGGAGGAGAAGCTGCCTTCCACCCTCCCATCTGTTAACCATGCCTCTCTTCCTCTGCCACAGAGCACAAGGGTGGTGGGGGAATGAGGAGAAATCGTGGGGGAAAAGAAGAGAGAGGTGGGGGTGCCAGCACTGGGATGTAATGAGGTGCTGTGTGTTTTTCTCTCTTTCGCTCTGTCTCTCTCTCCCTTTAAGAAATGGAACTGTGAGTGCAATGAGTACGTTCATAAACAAGCACAATTCTGGGTCGGCTCGGTCCCTAGTGTTCCACCTGAAAAGCAAAATATATATATTTCGCGCGCGATTGTATTGTCAAAGTTCTAATAAAGTGAATATGACTTCTTCTCCATGCTCAGCGATATAATTTTGTTAGAGGAACAAAGAAACAAAGCCATTTTATATTTCTCTAAGGGGTCTCGTGTTGAGAATGAAAAATGATTAAGATGCAAATACCATGAATTATATTTGTAAAAAAGTACAGAGACTGTATCTGATAATGAAACATTTGTTTTGATGAGATATACAACTCCGGCAGGTTTCACTTTTATTGAGATCTGGCACAATCTGTATGGAACAGTGCAGTGGTGCTTGACTCCCACCACATTAAAGTCATCTGTACGTTATTATTACGATCAGACAGGAGCTGATCTTTTGAGAAATTTACCTCAGCACAATGTTGCCACCCTTCGTAAACGCTCTCGTTTCCACTTTCCCTCTTTTCTTTTCTTCGCAGCACATCTGCAAGACATTTGGTACTAGCGTGTGTTTGAAAAAAAAAGGGCAGTATCCTCTATCCTCGTGGGGAAATGTGGTCGCGAAGATTTGAAATAACATATTACGGGGCAGAAAGTAAACCTTTTAGGAGGTGCATGATACATTAAATAAACCCTCACTCTTTTAAAATAAACTTTGTTTCCTTGAAGAGGCCAAAAAACATTTTTAATATGTCTTCTGAGCAATTCCAATACAAAGGCATGCTTTTGAAATTTTCATGTTGTAATCCTCAAAACTGTATGTGACCCTGGACCACAAAACCAGTCTTAATTTGCTTGGGTATATTTTTAGTAATAGTCAAAAAAAAAAAAAAAAATTTTATGGGTCAAAATTATCGATTTTTCTTTTATGCCAAAAATCATTAGGATATTAAGTAAAGAAAATGTTCCATGAAGATATTTTGTAAATGTCCTACCGTAAATATATCAAAACTTAATTTTTGATTAGTAATATGCATTGCTAAGAACTTAATTTGGACAACTTTAAATTAGATTTTCTCAGTATTTTGATTGTTTTGCACCCTCAGATTCCAGATTTTCAAATAGTTGTATCTCGGCCAAATATCGGTCCTATCCTAACAAACCATACATCAATGGAAAGCTTATTTATTCTGCTTTCAGACGATGTATAAGTCTCAATTTCAAAGAATTGACCCTTATGACTGGTTGTGTGGTCCATGGTCACATATAAGTACTGTTATTTACTCCCAAGGTTTTTTCTTTAACACACATATTTAAGGAGGTGCGGCTGTTTGGTTTGTGCTTGACGAGGGGCAGGGAGCCCATAGCGAGAGAGTTAACGGTCTATTGTCTGTATAAAGTCATTATGGGCAGTGCTTCTTAAGTGTGGCAGCGTCTGCCTGAGGGACAAAGCTGACGAGTGCCCATAAATCTTAGCTGTGGAAAAGACACAGGATGGGTGACCTGAACCTGAGATCAGGATCAGTGTGGGAGGGACCCTGGCAATGAAGATCTTAATGAGTGCCAGTAAAAATGGTTGGCATACAGCATGCATTTTTACTGTGCATGTGGATTTAAAAATTTGAATGAATAAAAGTGGTCAGAAATAAAAGGTACAGACTTTTCTCAGCTACCACTATAAATAAGTCTCAACAGTAAGGACTGCCCGCTGACCAATGAAAATTTTACATTTGATGCATCATATGTAAAAAAATAAAATAAATAACCTAATAAATGAATAAAAAAAGAAATAATAATTTCTAGTTTACTGCAAGTTTTTGTTAACAAATGTTGTGAATTTTCTTTATGTAAC